TGACCAGGACTGGGGCTGGTCCCCGACTGCTGCAGGGATTTCAAAGTATGGCTGTGTGATGCCTGGCTGCATTTCACGCCAGTAGAAGCTGAGCACAAAGCATGCACTGCCTCCAACCACTGCATGTTATACCTTTAATATCCTTGATATTTATTTTTTTTAATATACATATATATGTATTTAAATATATTTCTTATTTAACAGTTGGTATCAGCCAGACAGGAGCCACCCGTCTCACACAGATAGGGAGCCATCTGGCAAGATGGTCCCCAATGCAGGGCCTGCCATTTCTGCTGGCTCATGCATACACAGGGAGAAATCCCCACTTACGCTGTGGGCACCCACCAGTGAGAGGAGCATCACAGCAAAGCAGTCTCAGGGACAGGTGTGCACTGTCCCCCAGGTGTAGCGCTCCATCTCAGTGCTGTGCCTTAACCCTGTCTGCAAAAACACAAGGCAGGCTCTCGGTAGCCCTTCTTGAGCAGGGGAGTGGGACCAGATGACCTCCAGGGAACCCTTCAATCTCAACCATTCCGTGGCCCTGAGACCCTGGGGCTGCCACAGCTACTTCTGATGCCATCTTCCTCCAGGTGTCCTCAACCGTACAAAACAAGAGACAGGAACAGGGAAGGTTCCTGAACTTGATCCCGCCCACGCACACATGAACACCTGAGCAGAGAAAGCGATGGCTGGTGCCTCAAGGGTCATCCCTGCCTCTGCTCTGCTCACCCTGCAACTCTCCCTGCTCTGAGCAAGGGATGTGCTGCCACCAAGAGCCGCTTTGGACAGAGCTTGCTCTACCCTTCAAGTACACAAGGCATCTCAGCCTGCGAGGCCACCACAGGTGCTTTCAGGGACAGGCCCTGCTCTTCAGACACCACCTACAGATCCTGCTGACTTTGAAGAGACTTACAGGAAAAATAAACATTCAAAACCTACACATGACCGGGTGCACAGTGAAACAGAGAAGGAGGAACCACAAAACACACGATTCCTCCACCAAGGTTGCAGTGGAGGGCCCAAAATCAGTGGTCTGTGAAGAGAGTACCCTGCATCCAGGCTTCCCCAACAGGTCCTCTTCTCCCACATGGAAATCTTCGCTGGGTAGAAAGAGGAATTTGTGCATTTGTTGGGGATTTCCAGATGTGGGGCAGAATGGTGCACTCATACAAATATGATGCATTACAGACCTCATGTGTTGTAGAGTTAAGAGGTGCAGTCAGGTGGAGGAGATGCCCCCCGCCAGCACTGGTCACATAACACCCCTGCTCCCAGGGGCTGAGGTCCACTCAGGACTCTGCCCATGGCAACATGGGAGCCCTGTCCTGGGTCTAAAAGCATCAATGTATCTCACCTGAGGAACATGGCCCCTGGGTTAAGTGACAGTAATCAGTTGAGAAACTTCTCTCTGCAGTCCAGCTTCTAGATGGGAGATGAAGAGGAAAGGAGAGGCAAGAAGGAACAGGAGAAAAAGGGCAGAGAAAACAAGATCAAGAGAAGGGGCAGTGCTATACCAGCAGGGATGTTTTGAGAAAGGCTCCAGGGAATGCTGTGGGGTACCTCCGGTACTTTCCAGGTCCACAAACACCAGACACATGTGCTCCAGGGACCTATAAGCAGGATGTCTCCCTGGAGGGGGTCCCTGAGCTCCTCTTCAGCACCAAGCTTTGAGAAGTCACTGGTGCAGCCACATGTGCCAGCATAAGGGCCAAGAATAAAGGGGCAGCATGAGGGAGAAGGTCAAGGGCCAAAGGAGAGATATGGTTTTGCAACTCACAAAGACCCAGGAAAAGAGAGGAGCAGGACAACATGTGACAGCTGCACTGGAGAGCTTGCGTCCCTAAAAGTGACCATGTAAAGGCAGTGTATGGGATGACATGGGATGGGAAAGAAAGCTTGGAGGGCACTGTTGAGTGTGTACCTCCACTGGCACTAGAAACCAGGTCTAGCCTGTCTTGGCTCCCTCTGAAAATGTCTCTAGCAGCATGATGGAAAGCTGAGCACTGGGAAAGGATCACAGAATCATAGAATGATTTGGGTTGGATGGGACCTCAAAGATCATCTAGTTCCAACCTCCTGCCATGGACAAGGACACCTCCACCTAGATCAGGTTGCTCAAACTCCCATACAACCTGGCCTTGAACACTTCTAGGGAGGGAGCATCCACAGCTTCTCTGGGCTAGAATAGCCTTCCCAGGAAGGTGACTCACTCTGTTATTCATGCCCTGCGTGAAGTTTTACACTGACTCATCTGTGATACCTAACAGACACATGGGTGGGAAGAGCATTGGGAAGCCTTCTGCTCCCAATCACTCTGCAGGGTGCTCTGCACACATGAGGCACCTGGGGTCCTCCAGCCGTGCTGACTTGACCACTTCTGCAGAACATGAAAAACAAACCCATCATAGCCTTTTTTTTTTTTTTTTTTAAGCTGAAGCAAGAATTAGGTTTTTTGTGCACCTGAGCAAACCTCAGAGAAGGAGTGAACTCATTTTAACACTGCCATTTCCAGGTCACCTGCAGGGACTGGCAGTGTGGCACCGAGGTGAAGGACACTGCAATCCTCTCCATTAGGATGCACAACGCTGCAATGAGCTGGGGTCGCTGCTGCCCCTTCCCACCCATGGGCTTGAAGCAAAGACCCTTCCTGGCCTCTTGCTTCAGGGCAGCTCTGGTGAGAACACCTGGGGCCTCAGCAGCTCCATCCTCCTCTGCCAAGGCATGAGAGGGAGAGAAAGGTGAGACACGTGTTCCCTCATGCAGAGGTGTTAAGAGAAACAGAGTGAAAGACCAGAGGGGAGGGAACACAGGATGGACACACACACACGTACTCTTGTGACTGGCCTTTTCAAATACTTTCTGACCCAGAAAGCATCTGCATAGCTGCCCAGAACAGCCCAAACTGTCAAGAGAGAAGGTTTTTGGAGGTGAGGAGGTGCCACGAGCCTCAGCTGTAGATGTGGAGTGCCAAAGGGGTGCTCAGCAAAGGCCCCCTCCTGCACATCCACCTGCACTCAGCGTTATATCCCGACCAGCTCCTGAAAGTGTTTTTTTTCCCCATCTACCCTGAGCAGATTCCTCGAATGAAGGTGCTTTTCCTGGTGGGAGGGGAGGGTGGGGCTGGGGCAGGGCTGTGGGGACTTGGCATTCAGCACTCATTTGCTCTCTCTGGGAAGAAGATTTCGCGACATCGCTGAACCGTGTCCTGGGGGGACTGGACGCTGTGTCCCACCGTGCGGGGATCGTCATAGATTTCATAATCGTTCCCTCCCTGCAGGGGAAATAGAAAACAGGGAAAGCATTAACAAGGTCTTGATGGAGCACCCTCATCCGTGAATCTGCATCGTCTCTGTCCTGTGAGGAGCTGGGGTGGGAGCCAGCGGCCCCGCGGGCTGCAACCTGCTGGGAATGGGCTGCCAGGGCTTTGCAGGCCCAGGGAGGCAGAAGAGGCTGGGCTGGGAGCCCTGCTCCTGCCCTCTTGCCTCCCCTCTTTTGTGCCAGGGGAGGAGCATAGAAAGGGTGGGGAAGGTCTCAGACCAGCAAAGCTTCTCCAGGAGCCTGGGGTTAACCCCTGCTCTGCCTGTGGAGGGGCTAGCAGAAGGTGAGGTGGGCACATTTGGGGTGCTGAGGTTGCCATCATCTGGAAAAAATCTGAGTGGATGGCCAAGCTGGTCCTACAGCAGCAAGCATGCATCATCCTCCACTACCTTAAAGAGAAGATGAAGCCTGCTGTTGAAAAGCCCTCTCCTAGGTGCTGGGGGCTCCTACTTTGGGTTCTGCAGGCCAAAGGAGTGTTTGCCCCCCTCCTGAGGGTACCAGGGGGAAAAAAGTGATGCTGAGATGGACCTCCTCCACAGCACTGTGAATCCCCATGACCTAGTGGGCCTGCCACCACCACAAGCCTGCTGTGAACCTGCGTCACCTGAGAGCATCTCTCTCCCTCACACCACTAGATGTCTGTGTCAGCCACCGGTGGGACCCAGCCTGTGGGCCCTGTGGTGGAGCAGCTCCAGACAGGAGAGAAGGCAGACATGTGTGGGATGAGCAGGACATACTCACAGGGGTTGTCTCGTTCCCAAAGAAGTGAATGGTGTCAAATCTCTCGTCATCGAGCACGTTCAGGCAGTAGCGCTTGTCCCAGCCCTCCGGGAAGACATCAAAGCTGATCATGCCACCTGCCAGCAGAAGGGAGGGCACTGGGCAATGTTGATGGGAGCCAGCAGGGTGTTCCCTCTGCCTTGGGATGGGCAGGAGGAGGGGAGAAGGCTGGATGTTTTTGAGGAGCCTCCACCCCAAACAGCAGCCAGGCACCAGCTCTGCCTTGCTCTGCCTTTCCAGCATGTGGCTGGGATAGTGGCAGATGCTGTTCCTATGACAACAGGCTGGAGTGACATCAGCATGGCTGGGGTGACATCAGCACAGCTTCCCTGACCGAAGGCAGGCAGGCACGAACCAGAGGCCTGCAGGAGGCAGGGTGGGGGGAGTGATGCTGGTGTGGGAGGTCACAAGAGATGCATCTGTTGGGGGAGATTTGGGGTCACGCGTTGCAGACAGCACCAGCACGTTCTGTGTCCCAACAGGGAAAAATGTCCTTGGTGACTGGCACCAAGCTCTCTCCTAGGCTGCTGTGTGGACATTGCTGGCCCTTCTAAAACCAGTGCTCCTTAACTCTGCAGGGACTGGGGGCTCCTGGCACGCTGCACATATAAAGCAGACCCCGGGCACCCCACAGCCCTGGGGTCCTGGCTGGCCATGCTGCAGGGCCCAAGCAGGCTCTGCACGCTGATCGAGGACCAAGGACCTTGCCACGGAGCTACCACGATCCTGCTGACAGAATCAGGGCCCAACTCTGGCCTGTCAGCTCTTGCCACAAGTGTGAAGTGCAAGTTGCCAACACCTAGAGGGGCACCAAGGCAGACGGGGCAAATGTAAAGGAGCTTTCCCAGAGAGCACACGGACACTCAAAGCCACCAAGGGTTAACGAACTTCCTAGCCCTTGCTCTCAGACCAGGCAGAGTTAACCCCAACACTGTGCTGCTTTCTGGGGGTGCTTCGAGGCAGCAACCTTTCCTGTCCTCTTGAGCTGCTCTGCTGCACCCACAGGCTGCAGAGCCAGACCCTCATCCCTGCACCAACACAGGTGTCACGTTTCTCCAAAAACAAAGCCTGCGCCTCAGGGCACACATATGTTTACATGTTGCTTGGAGCTGGGAGGAACGGGGATTTGAGCTGGGATGTGAGTGCTCCTGACAGTTCTGGTCTCTGCTTCTCCAGGCAATCTACTAGGCCATGAGCAATCTTGGAGTTTCACCCTCTCCTTCTTCATAGATCAAAACTCTACCTCTCTTAGGAAGAGGGTGATTAAACAGGTACCCACGGGGAAAGTCCTTGCTGGAGGCGAGGAATGATCTCCTGGGCTGTTCAAATGCACATGTCCTGATGTCATTCTCCACTTCTCCTTGGCTGGTTGAGGTGTCCCTGTTGGTTTGGGATCCTAAACTAACGCCCCTTAAGCATGAGGAGGCAGATGATTCACTACCGGACAGGATGCCCCAGGCAGGGCACTGTAATATGGATGGGAGCAAGCACTTGGTCTGCTCAGGGATCATAGAATATCAGGGGTTGGAAAGAACCTCTAGAGATCATCTAGTCCAACCCCCCTGCCAGAACAGAATCCCCTAGGGCAGCCACACAGGAACATGTCCAGGTGGGTTTTGAAAGTCTCCAGAGAAGGAGACTCCACAACCTCTCTGGGCAGCCTGTGCCAGTGCTCTGTCACCCTCACAGTAAAGAAATTTTTCCTCATGTTGAGGTGGAACTTCTTATGTTCTAAGTTAAGCCCAGTATTCCTTGTTTTATTACTGGGCACCACTGAGAAGAGATTGTCTCCTTCCCCTTGACACCCACCCCTCAGATATTTATATATGTTAATAAGATCCCCTCTCAGCTCTCTTCTGTCAAGGCTAAACAGCCCCAGTTCTCCCAGTCTCTTCACAGGAGAGATGTTCAAGTCCCTTAAATCATCCTCGTAGCTCTCTGCTGGACTCTCTCCAGTAGGTCCCCATCTCTCTTGAACTGGGGAGCCCAAAACTGGACACAGCATTCCAGGTGTGGTCTCACCAGGGCAGAGCAGAGGGGAAGAACTTCCCTAGACCTGCTGGACACAGTTTTCCTAATGCACCCCAGGATCCCATTGGCCCTCTTGGCCATTTTGGCCACAAGTGCACGTTGCTGTCCCATGGACAACTTACTGTCCTCTAGGACACCAAGGTCTTTCTCCATGGGGCTGCTTTCCAGCAGAACGTCCCCTCATCTGTACTGGTGCCTGGTGTTACTCCTCCCCTGATGCAGGACTCTACACTTGTCCTTATTGAACTTCATGAGGTTTACCTTTGCCCAGCTCTCCAGCCTGTCCAGATCTCATGGGATGGCAGCACAGCCTTCTGGTGTGTCAGCCACCTCTCCCAGTTTTGTATCATCAGCGAACTTGCTAAGCGTACACTCTATCCCCTCATCCAGGTCTTGGATCATAGAATCACAGAATGGCCTAGGCT